TTTAAGAAATCGATTATATTCTTGTTTCTCTGCAATTTAGACGAGTTTTATGAGTACAATGGTTTATTATTTTGTTTTGGAAAGCATCAACTTTTGCAACATGTTTCTTAAGTGTTTTCACAAGATCGAGTCAAAAACGCGTCAAACCTTATATAAAAAGTTTAAATTATTATTAAATTATTATTAAATTATTATCATTATTATAGTATTATTATTATTAAATAATTAATTATTAAAAAATTAGTCCCCGCAGTCCTAAGAAGCTAAAGTATAATTCGGCTATGGAAATTGCAAATCAAATTTTACTTAAAAGTTTCACTATCTTGAACGTAATATATAATGCTACTTTTAAATATAAGTAAAATTATTGTAAGAGCACAGTGAGCAGGAGATGGCACAGTAATTGACACTCTTACCCTACTTCCGATTTTTTATGGAAACTAGTGTGAACAAATCCTCCGCAAGTAATTTCCCTATCATTACCATATTCGCAGATTGTTCAACAAACGAAAGTTCACGCGATGGTAAATGTTGAATAACGACAGCAGCGACACCGGATGGTAAAAATGATTCGTATCCATTCGCGAACGAGGTGACCGCGAGTAATTAACGAGCGAACCTTAGCGCCGTTCGAGGCGCGCTAGGTCGCATTGATCAAGCTAATCGGATCAATACGGCAGATTATTATCGTTCGAAATGAACGCGGGCAGGAATTGTCCCATCCTTCTGCACCGTTCCCCCCGCCTCTCTATCAGCCCGTTACATCGTTCCCCGTCTGCTCGGGCCGTTTTATTAATTATTCTTCGTCGCGTTGCCAGAAATCGGCCGATTCCTGTTTCTCCCGTGAAACTTTTAAGCTAGTCACACGGAGATAAGAGCTTACGACGCCTGCTTGCCCGCAGAAAATTCCGTTAAAAACCCCCGGAGATCGTCGACAGGGAACCGTTGAAATCTTACGGACAATTTGCCCGCGCTGGCGACGCGGTCGCCTAACTGAATCAAATACGAACGCGAATTACCGCGTTAAATTAAGACGGCGAAGGAAAATTAAAGCCGCCGCCGCCGCCGCTGCCGCGTGACGGTCCGCGCTATGTATGCATTTCGCGTTAATCGGACCGACTCTTCAATGCTCTCCCTATCTGTACTATACTCGCGGATTCGACTTTAAATCCTGTGACGCATGACGATACTGTCCCGTAATCCTCGCGTTCCGTTCGTGAAATGTCGGTCCATAAAATAAGTTTTTCGGGGTTTTCGTCATATTTCTTGTTTCGAGGAGAAGCATGCGGAACGCATGAAAAATCACCGTAGAACAAATTTGTTACGCTGCTGCGCGGACTGCAGCGTTCCAAGCTTATTACGTGTACTAGACGAAATACGAGACAGTTCGTAATCACCAGATTGCGGATTTTTATGCTTCCGCATCAAAACTGCGGTAAAACTGAAATTCTTCTTTTAATAGTTTCTAGGCTCTTTCCACGTTTTCGATATATTTCCGCCAAAAGTGCACAACATCCACATTGTAGTAACTGCTTGACATCTATTTTTAAATGTAAAATGTAACAGTTCTGTTTTCTCCACTTTTTCGTTTTGTTCGAAAACAACTGTGTGTCATTTGTTCGTACACCAGCAGAGTTGGGCAAAAAGTAATCTTATTAATCATTAACAATTATAACTCGTTTATAATAATTGGCCAAAAAGTAATCCGATTAACGAATAACGTTTATAACTCGATAGTTAGGCTCTTCTAGACTCTTTCCACGTTTTCACTACATTTCTGCCAAAAGTGCACAACATCCACGATGTAGTAACTGCTTGACATCTATTTTTAAATGTAAAATGTAACAGTTCTGTTTTTTCCACTTTTTTATTTTGTTCGAAAACAACTGTGTGTCATTTGTTCGTACATCAGCACAGTTGGGCAAAAAGTAATCTTATTAATCATTAACAATTATAACTCGTTTATAATAATTGGCCAAAAAGTAATCCGACTAACGAATAAATGATCATCAATTAGTTGCTAACGGGTTAAAATCGTCGATCATCAATTAGATTACTTTTTGCCCAACTCCGTCTACCAGTTTGTCCTACTTGCGTTGACATGAAACGAATATTATTCTTTAGGTTCGTTTCTATATAAATAAATATTGCTTTCCGTGAACGTAACAAACAAGTGCTGCCATGCAATGTTGCGCGACGTCGCTTATTTAAACGATGCATTCATGTCGTATTCACTTTTCCATTTTGAACAAAGACAACTGCTGTTTCCTATTTGTGCTGAAATGCGACGAATATTTTTCTCTGGCTCTATTTCTTTATAAATCAACTGTGAATATTGCCTCTCGCGAACGTAACAAACAAGGACTGCAATGCAATGTTGCGCGACGTCGCTGATTTTAAACGACGTATACATGTGCACAGAGTAGGGCGGAGCTGTTCAACAGGCCCCGAGGGCGGGCAAGGGCGAAGCTACGGGCAAGGTCAAAGCTACGGGCAAGGGCAAAGTTATGGGGCAAAGCTACGGGCAAGCGCCTTAACACGTTGACTGCCGCGTCACCCGTATTCGGGTGACAGCAAAAGTTCTCATCCGGCCACGTCACCCGTAATTCGGGTGACGCTGATTTGACTACTTACAAAGGATTTCCGAAAATATTTCGACAAATATTCTACAGGAGGTAATGAAACGATTGAATTCTTATAAAAATGGTTTATTAACACGTTCCGTGCCGAGCTTTTTTTACTCGAATCTTCACACTTTGATATTTTACTAAAACTTGATGTATTACGTGCAATTATTAATTCTCGTACACATAACAACGTAACAAAAACTTATCAACGCCCATTCTTGCGGTGGAAATTGATTCTTCGGTTCTAAATTTCTTGTAAACAATTTGTTCGGTTCACTAAGTAAACATGCAAGCGTGTACCATCGATGGTACACGTGGCACGGAACGTGTTAAAAAAATTATTCGCAGTGTATAACATTAAAACATTCTCTGCAAAGTTGAGGTTGATCAGGACAGCTTGGACAAAAAGTTGTTGGTTTTTTCAGATTTGCTCGTGCCTCTGATCGGTCCATTTCGTATCTTTTATTTGAGCTTTTATTTGAACTGTGGCTTCCTCGGTATCATCAACATTTCTTTCTTCTTCCATGACCGATTCTCGTAAAATCCCGTCAATAGTATCTTCATAACATTCATTATCACTAAGATTGTATTTATCAGTATCCGAATCAGAATCTGACGATGTAATTCTATTTATGCTTCTCCTTCCGGGCAATCCGATCTCTTTCCATTATTGAAAAAAATAAGGGCAGAGATTTTAAGTTATACCATTCGGTACTCGGCAAAGATTCCAACTGTTCATGCAGGAACAGAAACAGACATGAATTAACAGCGCACGCTTCCTATAGCGGCACGGGTGGCCCGTAGGAGATTTTGTTGTAAATACGCGTGGCAGTCAACGTGTTAACGGAGTGGGGACGTGAAAAAAGAAAGAACGAAGTGTTTACATTTTCATGCCATTCTTCCTCTCTCGCTCGCACGCATTGGCGTTATTGTATGTGAATCGTGCGATGATTCCATTTCTATCACGTAAACTACAGTCGATCTCTGTCGTCGTCTTCAACCAAATAACGCATCGTTACTGGTGGGTGGTCCAACGACGAGCTAAGGGGGGACACCGTTGACCCGCCGGTCGGTATTTGCTCTGGACTGAAAATCGCTGCCCGTACGGGCGAGATGTTGAACAGCTCTTGGCGTAGGGTAATTAGGTATGCAGTCGCGATGGCGTTCAAATTGTGACCCACTTGTCGTCATAAATCTCTAACGAGGCTTTTTAATGTCGCCAGCTTCCCTTGTTCTTGGAAAGTTCCCGCGAAGCATACTTTTCAGGCATTTCGGCATTTTCAAACATCCCGAAAAGCCAGCAAACTGCCACAATACCGGACTAAGTTATTCAGCAAGTTCCATGACAGTTTGACGGGAATCTGCCTACAAGCTCGTAATACCACCGCAAGGTGTCCTCCAGTAAGTAAAGGCATAGCAATTTACAGTTGCCGTTGCGGACACGTTGGCACAACATGTATAACCGGACGCGGTACCCAGTCGAAGCGTTCGCTCGCTGTAACGGAGGAACACCGCCGCGAATTTCAATGTTGGCGTAAGAAATGTTATTCCAACTTTTATTTCGGATGAATGTCCGTCGCCTCTCGTTGAGACAATATTTTCTGTCATATGCCAGCCAACTCGAAATTCCACGGAAACGCAAGCGATATTTGTCGAAACTCTAGTCTGCACCTGATGTAGCTTATTTTACACGTAAGTCAAACATTGGAATTTTCAACGCGCGCTCGAAATTTTTATATAACGCGTTGCGAATGCAGCTGCAGTGATGAAAAGAATAATCTGCACGGACGCGGGATTTTCTTTCATATTCAGAATTTGATGTCGTTCGTTAAAACAGTGTGCGAGTTGTTCTCAATAATCTAACAAAAAAGTTGTTTCAGACAAAAGTGCACTAATCCGGGATTTAGCGCGCTGCGCGTTGTATTCGCTGGACACATTTTACAATTATTTGACAATTGCACATGTTACAGCGGGGCCGTGCGTGTTTGCACGGTTTGAGATCATAGGTTGCGATCGAAATTGGAGGTCGGTCAACATGATCGTGAACAAACACCCTCGCGATGACCAGAATCTGCAAGTCAGCAAGCAACGAAGACCCAAGGTGTCTCTTCCAATTACGGATACAGCGAGCAGTAAATCATATTAGGCTATTTCTGTCGATCGTATAGTCTCGTGTAATTATACCGTATAAATTCCACTCAATTGATACGTTTAAGATGACTAAAAGTCGCCGTAAACGGACATCGTTTGTCCCTTGTCACGCGTTTGAAAAATGTCACGACTACTCGGAATCGATGGAAATCTTGGGAAACTCGTAGGGCACTGCTGTAGCCCATGGTGCAAACCAACTGACAAATTGTTCAGAGTACTCACCTAGACGCTGTCCGTTAGTGTAACCAATCAGATAGCCGGCACGTGACGTTAACGAGAGTTTCCACACATTATCTAATCACGCCGAGGACGTTCGGGAAACACACATTCCCCCGGCGTAGTATCAACGTCCTGGCGGTTTGTTTTCACAGGACACTGGCAGGTTCGGGAACGAGAACGTCGCGTTCCTCTAAACAAAGTTGCAGCAAACGAGAATTCAAATATGCTGATACCGTTCTCCGTGGTTCGATACTTTTCTGATCGTAGGCGATTTTAACGACCGCGCCGGCGGACTGCGAAGTTCTCGATTAGGTCCATTGTCGGGCCGGATAATTATTGTTAATTATTCGATCGTTACACAGTTTACTTACGCAAATTATCTACTATTATGCGGATATTTAATATGCGATTTTCATTCCGCGGGTGCCAACGAATCACTTGGAACGCAATTTCGGGTCGCCCGGGTCGGGCGTAAATATTCATGTAATTTTGATGCACTCGATTTAATGTCGCGCGATTAAAAATCATTTAACGAGGCAGATTTTCAACGTCGCAATTATGTGCCGGCCACCCTTCCCCGCTCTGCTCGAACCGCCGAATAAACCGCCGAAAAACCCGCCGGCCACCCCGGTGAAATAAATATCGTACCGAAACGGCGCGAACGTTTCATAATTAGCGCGCCCTTCGCGCGTCGAACACTGCCCAACGGTTTTCGGAAAGGATCGAAATTTTGTGTGGGACGCGAGCCGAAGGCTGACTTTTATTTTCGGTTTTGTTTCGTGCAAAAACTTTCGATCGTTATTATTGCCTGGCCAGGATCCGCCTGCGATCAGCATTTCGGAACTTGGAGCCGAGAGAGGGAACTTGCGATAAAATCAACAAAACCGATAGAACACGGTCGAACAAGCAACAGCAAATAAAAGAACGGACCGGTAAAATGGGATAGAAACGAACGGTGACCGAGTATGTTTGCTTTTTGCGACAAATATCTCCGGAGTCGCCGATATGGAGCGAAATCAGGGAATCATAATGGCACACCTTTAATTCGTAAGATCGCGTGGCAAGAGGGAAGTTAATGACATAAAATCATATTAAAAGTTATCGAAAGAATTTGCTAGACTTGCTTGGCAATCGCTCGCAGGCATTAACAACGTTCGCGAATGAATCCCTCCATATATGTTGAAATATTAAAGACATATTACAAAAACACGTTATAAGTTCACGAGACGATCATCAGAAGTTGATAAAAGACGGTATAAACAGCTATAACATAACTCGTATACGAAGAAAAATTGCACTAGAAATTATTGCACGAAGTTGCTAAAATTATCCAGCGATAGTTTCCACTGGCATTCGAGTCCGCAAGAAAGGTGTAAAAGATTCGAAAACTTATACCGTACAGAAAGAAACCGGATCGTGTTGGACGGAGCAGTAAAAATTGACAAGGTTTGCCGACGCTTTTCCAATGGCAATGACCTTCGTGAGAGAATCCACAGAGGACCGGTGCCATTGTGGCAAAGCGTGGCAGCGAGCCGCCACCATGAGAGCGACATAAGCATAATATTTAATTTTCGAGTAGGTACCCTGGGGTGTGTAGGGCGCGCCGGGTCCACGCCGAAAATGCAGGTGATTGCGAAAAAAAATGTAACGACCTCGGCTCGTGTTCGGAACGATCGATGAAAGTACCGAGGCAAAAGTCAACGTGACGAAGCGTTGCTCTTCGCCCTTATCTATCTAAGAAACACTCACGATCGGCGCAGTTCGGTGAAGGGAACAGGAAAGAACATTCGTTAAAATTCGAAAAAAATGTACGTCACGCTGGTCGAACTGCGATTCACGAGTTTAGGTTTCGTCGACGGTCGGGGCCCGCGAGACACACGAGGGTCGCTCGTAATTCGCGGGAACTACCACCGGATGAACTGTGAACCGGTAAACTGTGCACACGGGAACGTGGTCGTTGCACAGAAAAAGTCTCGACGAAGATCTCTGATAATTTCTCTGTTCGGCGTTTCTTTCGTTCCTTTCGAAGAGACGTCACGCACTGGAGTAGGAGATCGCGAGAGGTCCGTGCCACGTGAATGATCGAGCGGCAACACAAGGATCTCGTCCTGGATCGTCCCGTGACTCGTGAGCCCTCGATCCACCGTTAAGTGCGGACCGTGAGAACGAAGGGCGTCGCGACGCGGATTGCACTGACTCCCGCAGATTCTCCGTTTCCCGCAGAAGCTTCGAACAACCCCTTCTCCCCGCAGCCCTCCCGCGCCGCGCCGCGCCGGTTGGCCTTGCTCAGCGGAGCTTCTACCCCTCTTTCGACGACCGCTACACCATCGTCGGGCACCCCTTCTCTCGTCGCGCAGCGTCGCGTCGCACGGTTTCGGCGCAAGCGCCTCGGCTTTTGTGCGGATTCTGTCCTAGCCTAATTCATATCCGCGTAAGTACGGTTACGTCCAGCCGGCAGGACAACGAACATTTCTCGTTTTACCACATCGTCTTGCGGTTTTCACGGATTACGGGCCGGTCCGGGCCATTTTCTCTCTTCCATTTTTTCATGGTGCAAAACGCCCGGCGTTTTTCAACCCCATCGTCCCGGAGACAACTGCCGGCGATCCATTGTCTCTGTCCACTAGCCACCCATCCCGACTCCTTTCTACACCGGGTCCGTGACTCGACGACGATTCCTTCACGCATCAGATACCAGCGCCCATTCACGGCGCTCGTCTTTTCAGGAAAAATTAGGACGCGCTCGGACCGTCGCCGATGCCGATTCCGAAGAAATCAAGTATCCGGGCTCGTTAAGTTTCGTCGCTCGCTTGGAAATGGCTAGCCGGCCGGCACCGTCTATGGTCGAAACGTGTTTTATGTTGCCCGGAAAAGTAATTTCGCGAATCTTTGCAGCCCCGTACGAGATTGTATCGTAAAAACGCAATTTATTCGAACCGCTGCAATTTTCGTGATAGCGCTCAGTTTGCCGAACGTGCTGCAGAATTCTTATTGTACGGGCCAAGGTCACGCGACGTTTCGCTTATGCGAATTCGGGCTTTCGCGTACCGATAAATATTGAAACGAAAAGTATTCGGACATCACTTTTTTTTTATTATGATGTATAGATACATTGATGGATACATTGATACGAAGTGAAACAACTGGTGTTTTCTAAGAAATCTCTTTTTATTGTTATTATTATAAGTTTATTTATTTTAGCGTGGTCGTATTAATTGCGAGACCATTAGTTACCACGTGTTTTACAATTAACTACACATGAAGATTTATATTCTAGATCATAATTCACATTTATGTTGACATATGCAGCTATAATAAAAGACTACAATGAGTCATATAGATTTATACATGCTTAATAATGGTGTAATAAGTTGCCGAATAATTGTGTAGGTAATTTCAATTTTACAGAGTCCCGCAGTTCCATTACCAATTTTTGTGCGTCAATTGCATCGAGCTGGAGAAACACAGAATTGTATTTCTCGACTTAGTCATTTTAATAAGTTGAAAAGAAAATTTTCTTTCATTACATTCGTAAAATATTATAATAAATTCTCGGATAAAATTTACAGCAATCATAGTGACATGAAACTATGACATTTTTGTTTCCATCTGTGTATGCTGCAAATATTAAGCAAATAGAAGTTTAAAAAAAAAGTCAAGCTCGCAGAGGATCGGATAATTAAATGCACAAATTTGTGTTGCACACGTTCAATATTTACATTCAAGTATCGATTAAAAATTCACGACTGGCATCGAAACGATTCTCACAATTTACGATTCGAAATCGAACAATCACAGCAAGAACATTTCAAAACTGGCAGCGATCATCTTCCTTCCAGTGTATGAATCGAAGAAACGAAAACTCGCGACGCTTTTGCGCTCAGGAGCGAGCCTGAAAAATCAGGTCGTTAAATTGATAAATCGGGCATAGCTCGTGCAGCAGCCGCGTCTTGTAAACAGGCGCGTTAATGAAGCATCCCTTCGAGACCGGGGCGGCGCGCGCTACATTTTTCGCTTATCGACGACGAAGGATGATCAAAACTCCGGTTCGCCGGGAGTAATGCCGGCAATATGAATGCGCCGGCGGTAGTAACCTGCTCGGGAATTAAAATTACCCTGGAGAATGCTCGCGCCGCGGCTTAACTAGGCCTCCTCTTCCTACCCCCATTATTTGCCGGCCCGAAGTAAACCACTTTCCTCTGTGCATTCGCGCATTTACATACCCGGCCGTCTCTCTATCAACACGTTATCGCGTCTTTTTTCCGCGCATACACAGTGCCGAACGCAATGTGTTTGTACCGCTGTGCAGCGCGGTCTCTTTCCTTTGCAGCGCCGTATCCTCCGGTTTCCCCAGCCTTTATTCACTGTCCAGACTTTGTTTTATCTCGCTGCCCGGATGCATCCAGCCCGCGGCTGATAAACCTCACCAGAGCCGCCCGGGGACCCTGCCGAATTGCACAAGTTTTAATTTCCTCGAGCGATGCGCGCCACATCGGCACAATCGTCGTACTTATTGCGACGCGAACGGGTTTAGAACCTTCCCGCTACAGAATGTCCCGCAAATATCAGACCGGTGCTTGCATAATTCCTGACACGGGCGCAAATGGGAAAGTCCTTTATCATTTCGCGAATCCTGGCTTCGTTTCGGCGATATCGATCCTTCGCGCATGAATGCCGGTTATGTGCCAGCACAAAAACTTGTCGTACCGTAATTCAATTTTTACATTTTTGTTCGGTCGTAACGTGAACTAGTTCGATCGTATTCGGTAGCTGTGGGCGTTTATTAACGTGCTGTAGGATTAACTCGAGTGCCGACACTGAATGGTTATGTCACATTTTGAAATAATTTGTAGATTATCAGATTTGTTTATATTCTAAAAACCTGTTGAAATATTTCATATATATATATATATATATGTGCATGAAATGCAATAAGATTTAGAGTTGAAATAGCTTCAAGTGCAAAGGGTTTTTGGACCCCCCCTCCCCCCTGGAAGACATGACAGTCCATGTGTTTAAATGTTAGTGAAAGTCACTGCATAAATAAATTTTGATTATTAATGGATTTCGAACTTCGAAGTGTACATACTTTCAGATAGTGTGAGATTATTTCTCCTTTTGAATTGGGTATTTATTAGGTCATTAGGTATCCTTTATGATGAGATCTGATGTTATTTGAAATATTATTTCAAATAAGATGTTCTATACTTATTTGTGAAATAATTATTTGAGATAATTGTCGAATTCTCCTTTGGAATTATATGGTGATTTAATTATTACCTTTGAGTTTATACTCACTCATCTTCTTTTCTGCAAGACAAAAAGACCAATCTGACGAATAACCCTTTTTCCATTTCCCGAACCAGTGGAACGATTATTATTTATCGCGACAATACTAGATTAACAGACTAAAATTTCTTAAGGAATTTTTTGAAGAATGAGTTTTGCTCAAAGCAAAATTGCTGGAAAGATTCCCTGAAATCAAATATTCTTGTTGCATACTCTTTTGAGAATTGTTTCGTTTGTCCCATTTGAAATAAACAAATTACGAGATAATTACTTGAAGTTGCTATTATTTAAAATTGATCAATAGTATTTTTAGTTTCAAATGGTTATTTCTTATTTTCATCTTAAATAGAATTTATCCAGGTCTGTTTATGATTACTTTTCACCAGGAAGACTGGAAGAAGATCACGGCCATCAGATTCAATTAACAAAGTCATGGTTTCACTATGTTGAAAATAGAATAGTCGCGCCAACAGCAAAATTAGCACGTGTGCCAAATCAAATTTGAAACGTACATACGCGTGATAAGTCGTACGAACTATGAGAAATGTACAACAAGTATGACATAAGGAGACAATTTCGCAGAAACAAGCCTGTGTACAAGATGGCGCGTGTCGCTGATGGTCCCATAACTTTGAGACAGCCAATATCGCGGGTCTGGGTGCGAGTGGTATAGTAAGCGGTCGCCTGATATGGTCCAGCCATGACTGTGCTTCTCCGGCGATCCTGATCGGCCAACGAAATTAGCTCCGACCGGCGCGGCGCGGTGTGCTACGCGGAAACTTCCGTCGTCAGTTCGGCGCACTGTTTTGTGACAAATGTGCAACGGTGCCGAAACGAGCGCCGATTCCCCGAGCGCTGCACCGGCCCCGAGAATGCGTTCGCTCGCGGCGGCGCTAGCGCGAGAACAGTCTGAATAATGCAACAGTTACGTTTCTTCGGAAGCAATTTCGAAGTAACGGCCCTTAACAATCTCGAAATAATGGCCGGGGCCGAAATAAATGTTCGAACGGCTCGGCGGCTCGAACTCGAGCACGCGATCGGCGAAAGGATATGATTGCGATATAGCTCGATACAGCGAGAAACGGATGGAACGGAATGCTGAAATAAAAAGAATCTTTCGGTTTCTTGAGCGACGAATAGCGCCGGTGCAATTGAATTTATTTCGGGCCCGGATTCTCGCGGCGACGACGCTGCGAATTAAATCTGGATAAGCCGTTCGGTAGCTTCGCCGAAAGTTCAATTTTTCTGAGAGGAAACTTTGGTAATTAGACGGCGGTAATTGCGTGCAGCATTTTTTCGGGCCGTGGGAAAAGTAATCGGGCGAAATTTCCGCTCGTTCTTTCCTGGGACCCGCTGCATTTGTTCGAGAAAGACGGGGTTGAGGAAAATTATAATAATGTCGCGATTTCTCGTAACTCTGCGGAGGCGTCCGGCCCTTCTCGTCAACACATTTGTTTATTAACTAATTGAACTGAATCATTTATTTGCAATTATATTAAGGTTTTGTACGTCTATTTTCCTTGACGTTTTCCACCGATCTGCTGATTCTCTTGTCATCAACTAGGTACTGCTAACCGGAAACCACAATATCGATTCGGAAAGTCAACTTAAAATGTTTCATTTCAGTCGCACTGAGCATCATAGCAATACGATGAAACGAATGAAGACGTGATTAACAATTTTGCTTCTATTTAATGAGTCGTTGCAAACGTGATTTTGATTTATTTGTAAGATATCTTATTCGAAAACGGAAATCACTTTTGCAACGTACATTACAGTAGAACAAGAAAAACTTGTTTCATGCTTTATTTTCGAATATGCTGGAGAAGTTCGAGAACTTATGTCCTCGAGCACTGCACTCTGTCGGTGTCTGCTTGTTGGTTACAATTCAATTCTCGTCCGACGATCTTCTAAATCAAACGGCTGC